AGTTCTGCATTTTGTTAGCTATTCAGAGCTACTAGTGACAATATGTGTGCCCTTAGAATGTCTGGTTTTCTCCTCCCCTTCAGTGGTATGGAAAGTCTACACAGTATCAGTATTTGTGACGCTGGTCGTGAGGGAAGATGCTTTGGTGCCCTAATGTTGAAATGCATGATGCAAGATATGAGGAGCTCACATTGAGAAGATGGGTGGGGAGCTCCAAGGACCCGTGTCTCTGAATTAGGGGTCGGAGTATTGGTGGCAGCTGCTACTTCTGTGAGCAAGCCCTTAATACTGTGGGTGTGGAAAGGGGCTAAGCCAGGAGGGAGTTATGAAATGCTGCCATGGGAAAGTTCTTCTCTCTGCCTTCAAAATGTACCTTTTGAATCCATGTGGGAAATATTTATCCCTTTTCCCCATGAGTGGCAGGTCACATGACTGGTAAAATATAAGATTATGCAGTCCTGATGTTCTGTATCTTTATTCATTCCAGAACCTCAGAGGAGGTTTTGGTACTCTTAACTGATTCATCTGCTTTATTTGTTGTCTCGCCTGCGCATAAGCCAGCTGAGAGAATCAGGAACTGCATTTGCACTTGTTGGAGTTCCAGATTAGAGAGTTAGGTCTTCTGTCTAATTGATTCCTCAATACATGCAGGCTCGATAAATGCTTGACTAGATGGGTAGACAGGGATACTTCTGCATTTCAGAGGCACAGATTCTGTGGTGGGGTTTAGCCTTCAGTCTGACACCTGTGGAAGAGGTGACAGGGAACAGGACTGGGCAGGGGCCAGGCGGAGCTGCATGCAGGTCCAGGGACAGCCTCAGCCAACGCAAGGGAGCTCTGGAGCAAGGATGGCCTTTTAGGAGTGTCTCTATTGGCTCGAGATCACCAGATCCTTTCCCCACTGCATCGGCCGGTCATTGTATGTGGCTCTCCCTGGGAAGGGCGTGACCTTGGGCTAGGCAGCTCTTTGCAGCAGAGGTGGTTCCTGGTGCTGACGCCTGGAGGCTGTCCACACGAAGACTCCCAGCAGCTGGGTGAGAAGTCCTTTAATGAGGGGAGTGTAAGCAGAGCACATGGTATCCATCATACAGTGGTATTTTATAAAGAGTGGGGTGTCTATGACAGATATGTGGTGTGTGTGTGTGATCATTAACATTTGTCAGACTGGAAAAAGACCAGAAAACATTCACTCTGTTTACCTGGTTCAACTGGGGTGACATAATGGCCTTTGAACACAAGGTGGCGCTGCAGTTTCAGTTCTGGGGAGCTTGGAGGCAGCTAGGGATTCTGGAAAAGGCACCATCCTATCCTCTTTACAAAGAAAAGCCATAGGAAAGAGGCTGAGCTGCTGTTTTAAAGTCGTTTCCCCCCTGACAACTGAAATACTCAGAAGAGGTGCGATGTAAGGTGTGTGTGGGTGTGGGTGTGGGTGTGTGGGAGCGACCGCACGTGCGTGCGCCCAATGACAGGTACGAAGGAGGTGGGAGCTGGTAGAGTCATCTCTCTTTCTTCTTTCTTTCCTTCCTTCCTTCCGAAAATACTCACCTTAGCGCCAGCTCTGGGTTCCATGCTCTGGCTGATCACCAGTGTAACACAAATGAACACTACCTTGCTTCCCCTATGTGAGCTTTGATGAAGCAACGAAATGGCATCTGTATGCACCCCGAAATATGTGTCATGGGTGCTACATTCCTAAGTCAGAGCTTAGGAAGCGATGTGGCAGGGGGAGGGGTGGCGTGGTTGCAGGCGAGTTAGAACTAAGCCTGGAGCCAGATGACACAGCTCCCTGTTCAAGAGGCAGCTGTAGCACTGGGGTTAAGCCCATGTTTCTGGGGTCACATGCCTGGATCTGATCTGACCCCTGCTACTTCCCAGCTGTGTGAATTTAGGCAGATGACATAATTACTTTGTGCCTTTAAAACACTCTTGGATGGAATATAATTATCGTTCTTCCATGTTAGTCTCTGTAGGATTCATTGAGAGTTAATACATGTGAAGGGTTAAGATTAGCACCTGACATAGGACAGGACTTGCTATTATTTTGAACATTCTGTTAGGTCCCAAACGTTCTTGAGCATCTGTACTATGCCAGGTCCTGTACATTTGCCTGGGAAGCAAAGATGGACCCAGAAGCCTCATGGGGCTCCCAGGAGACAGGTGTGAAGTCCTAGGATGAGGTACACACAGGGTTAGTGGGAGCAGGAGGAGGGGCAGCAAACTCATTCTTGATGGGGAGGGACATCAGTGAGGAGCTTGGGGAAGGCTTCCCGGCTGAGGTGCTTCTGAAACTGAGTCCTTGAAAGAACAAGTGTTTTTCTGTATAGCAGGGAACTATATTCAGGATCTTTTTTTTTTTTATTCAGGATCTTGTAGTAACCTATAATGAAAAAGAATATGAAAACAAAAGTAGATATGTATGACTGAAACATTATACTGTACATCAGCAATTGAAAGAAGATTGTAAACTAACTGTACTTGAGTTAAAAAAAGATAAGTCACAGAGTGAAGGTAGGTTTATTCACAGAGATACATACTCCATAGACAGGGCAGGTCATCTCAAAAAGCAAGAGAAAGGCAGAACGGCCCAGGAGACACACATTCCACAGGCAGAATGTGGGCCACCTTGCTCAGAAGGGAGAGCGGCAGACTTGGAACCTGGGGTCAACTAGGAAAACTGAGACCAGCCACAAGGTGTAGGGGTTATTGATTTTTATAGGCTCAGTAATTTCATGTGCTAACAAGTGGGAGGATTATTCCGACTACTTTGAGGAAGGGGCTGGGGTTCCCAGGAACTGAGCCATCACCTACTTTCTGACCATTTATGGTCAGCCTTGAAACTGTCAGGGTGCCTGTGGGAGTGCCACTTGGCATGCTACTATATTTCAGTGAGCGTTTATTTTGTTTGTTTGTTTTATTGAGGTATAGTCAGTTTGCAGTGCTGTGTCACTTTCTGATGTGCGGCACAGTGTTTCAGTCATTCATGAGTATACATATATTCATTTTCATGTTGTTTTTCACTGTAAGCTACTACAAGTTATTGAATATATTTCCCTGTGCTATACAGTATAAACTTATCTATTTTACATATACCAGTTTGCCAATTTCGAACTCCCGGTTTGTCCGTTCCTACCCTCCTCCCCGCCAGCAGCCACGGGTCTGCATTCTATGTCTGTGAATCTGTTTCTGTTTTATATATAAGTTCATTTGTCTTTTTTCTCTTTCTGGCTTGCTTCACTTGGAATGGCATTCTCCGGGGACGTTCATGTTGCTGCAAATGGCATTATTTTAATTTTTTTTTAAGTCTCTAGCCATTTATTTGCTTATCAATGTTTGCCTGTTAACAAAAGTAAATGTTTAACCATACAGTATTGTTCTCTGATTTATTGGTTTAAAGGCTAGAAATGATTTGCTTGGATAGCGATGTAAAGTGCTTAATTTAGGTTGTTGTAATCATTATCAGAAATTTCCCTCATATCTCCCCTTTCTTCTCAATGTAGTAACATGCTCAAATTTCTCTCATCTAAAACAAGACAGAATTCTTTAGAATCTGCATTCTCCTCTAGCCCCAGCCTCACCGGACTGAAAAAAAAAATAAGTTATACAAAATTTGTTCCTTATTTCCTCTAAAAACCACTAATCTGGCCTCTCCCAACCCCACTCAAATCATCACTGACTTCTTACCAGTCCTTTTTTTTTTTGTTTACATTTTTTATTGATTCATAATCATTGAATCTTCCGGCACCTTGGTATCAATGGCTGTGTCATTCTTTTAATGGTTGTGCCCTGCCCCCCTCCCTCCTGTCTCAGTAGGAGTGGACTAAAGGGTAGAAGCCACTTTCCAACATTTCCAGAAGAACATAAGTTTCTATTTTATAAAAAAAAAAAAAAAGATAAGTCAGAGTTCAACGGGTGAGGGTGGGGGCAAGGGGCTGGATAGAAATGGACACATTGTAATTGACTATATTTCAATTAAAAAAATTTTTGAAAAGAGTGATGGGGAGACAGCACAGAAGGGAAGCTGGTGACAGAAATTTGTGAGCAGGGAACGACTAACAGTTGAGTGTTGCCAAAGGATAAAGTTGTGCATGACGTGCCAGGGGTTTGGATTAGGAGGGCCGGGATCTCAGACGTTGTCATGGCTGTGAAAAGTCATGGAAGGTTTTAAATAGAACATTGTGTCCAGAGATCAGGCCTGGCACCCAGAGGGGATTCAGTGTTAATGGACAGATGAATAAAAGCTGAGTAGGATTTTAGCAAATCAGTGTGGGGAGTATCACTGGCATTAGGCCTAAGGTGGATGATGGCATCAGGGAAAGTCTAGAGACTGGTTCTAAACAAATAGATGTATACGTATGTATGTGTATGTACATGCACGTGTATAGATGTATGTGTAGGCAACGCATGCTCTTAAAAATAGACAAGCAGTACAGATAGTATAGCAAAAAGGTAAAAATGCTCCTTCCATTCGTCAGTTTCCTAATCTTGATTCTCGGAGGTAACTAGCACTTGGAGTTTTCTTGGGTTTCTTTCCAGACAAGTGTAGGCAGAACCACCTACACAGAAAAAAGCAGTGTGGTGCTAAGATGCTAGACTCTGGGGTTAGCCTGCCTGGGTTCTCATGCTAACTCTTTGTCCCTGCTAGCTTTATGATCTGACCCTAGTTGTCTAACCTCCCTGTGCCTCAGTTCCCATCTGTAAAATGGACACCTACCCCATCAGGTTGTTACGAGATTAAAAGTGTTCGTATATGTAAAGCATTGCACTCAGAGTGTCTGACAAACCGTGTTTGTTATTTTTATAGAGAATCTTTTAAAAATGGTTTAGGAGGGTATCATACTACTGCTCTCCGGTGTGCTTTTCCCCACTTACTGAAGAATCTTGCACATCTTTCCATATCAGTAAACATAAATCCACCTCATTGTTTTTAACGCTGCGTGGCATTGGATGGTATGGATATACTGCAATTTATTTAACCACTCTCAGATTTATTTATTGGTCGTTTCCCGTTTTCCACTCTTACACACAGTGCTGCAATGCCTGTCTTTGTGCAGTTGTCCCAGTACTTCTGTGAGGCAAATTCCTGCAAATCACACTTCTGGTTTAAGAGAGAGAGCCCTGCTGCAGATGAACCGTTTTCTTCGTTTTCAGTGAAAGCCCTGCTCCTGCTGGCTGCTCTCACCCTGAAGCACATCTCGAGGGACACATCTGAAGTCTGCAGATGCACCGGTCCGGGTCCCTGCCCTGAATGAGAGGTGCGGTGGAGCCGGTGGGCAGCTCTGGGCAGAGGGGATGGTTAAGCTGATGGATGAAGCAGCCTCCCCGAGAGGCAGGGGGTTTCGCTCCTTTTTGCTTTCCTTTCCACGCTCACCTTCTACCTGAGGCTGAGAGTTAGGGGAACATTTGGAGTGGACGTTGGTGGCCCTAACTCTGGCCCAGCGATAGGGAAGGGGAGTGAGTGTGCAGAACCCAGCCCTCCTGCGGCTCTCTTGCTCTCCGGGGAAGTGTCTCTGAGAGATCTGAGTGCGAACAGCTGAACCCCTGGCACTGGGGTGGAGCCCTCTGGCCACCACACTCGGGGCATCACCTCCCCTAGCCCCACACCCTCTGGGGCATGTTTCCACTGCCGCTGGAATCTCCACTGTTCCCAGCCCGCGAAGGACAGACCCTGGACCTGCCCCTCTGCTTCATGTGGCCCTGTCCAGTCCTGGGGAAGCCGAGTAGCTGTGTGAGAAGAACCTAAGGGCTTTGACCTCGAGGGCCCCAGTGTGACCAGGAGTCCTCTTCACTGGGCCAACACTTGGAGGTGGGCTTCTGTCATCTCAGAGAATCCCAATGACTGAGGCAGGGGCCGCAAGGGTAACCAGAGCCGTGGGCAAGAACTGTCTGAGGACCATTCCAGAACTAGCTTTCATCGGGGACTCAGAGCTGTGGTGAGTGAGAAGCCATCATAGGGCCAGGCACGTAGCAAAATGTTTAAAGTTTATTCCAGTTGTTTTTTTGCAGGAAATTGTGAGTTGGGTTGACAGTCTGCTCACTTCTCCTTCTGACTGAGAAGCCCTTGTACTTTTAGAATATTGGGGCAGGCAGTCAGGAAGGAGGACCTGGACCTCCACACGAGCACATATGTGTAAAACAGAAAAGAGATGCTGGTCCTTGCACCTGGAATTGAGGGAGTAGACTTTCCCAAATTGTTCTTCTAAAAACCAATTTATACTCCCACGATGTATGAAACTGCCTATTTCTGTTCATCTTTGACAAGAGTGACTATGATTAAACTTTACACATTTTGCCAAACTGATAGGAATGTAAAGTGGTGTCCCAGTGTTGATTTAATCTGTAATTTTCTTAATTATGAGTGTAGCTGAGCATATTAAAATCTGCTTATTGGACGTGAGCATTTCTGTTGGGTTGTGGGGCTTTTCCTTATTGATTTGTAAAAACCCACTTTGCAGTAAGGAAGTTGGTGCTCTGTCTAGCAAACGAATGGCCAATATTCTCCGAAGTTTTTGTGTTCTTTTAACTTTGTTTTCTTGTGCAGAAGTATACACATTTTACTTAGTCAGATTTATCACTCTTTTCTTTAGGGCTTCCACACCAAGATTGTAAGACGATTAACCCATTTTTTCCCCCTGTTACTTCTATGATTTTTTCTTTAATTTTTTTACATTTAAAATTTCTCTGGAATTTATTTTAATGTAGGAAGCCAGGTAGGAATCCAGCTTTACTTGCTTTTCTAAAACGGCCAGCCAGTATTGCAATGCTATTTATTTATTGGCTAATCTTCTTTGCTGGTTTGAAATGCCTCCTCTTTCACATATCAAAGGTTCTCACCCTCTCTACTTAGGAGATCTGGAATCTGTCCCCAGTTCTGTCACGAATTTCTATGTGATATCTGCGGAGCCCCATCCGAAGGGCCTTACTCCTATGTAAAATAAAGGGTTGATGGGGACGACGTTTAAATTCCCGACTAATCTTAACACCGTAAGTTGATGCCACAATTCCGTCATGATATCAAATCCTCCTCCCTCTTGGGTCTTTTTCACTCATTGTGGGGACAGGCTCACTTAGCACCCAGTGCCTGGGGTCTGCTGCTCACTTCTCTTTTTTTCTCCCTATATTTAAAATTGAGGTACAGTTGATTTACAATGTTGTATTCGTTTCTGGTGTACAGCATAGTGATTCAGTAGTTAAGCATGTTCTGGATTAGTTAAGAAGAGGGGTAGTGGATATATTTCCCTCAATAGACCATCGTGGTACAAAGGTACAAAAATGTTCCCTGGTGGAACTGCTAGGCTCCACATCCTCATGGCTTTGACCCTGGAATCAAAAGTAACTGTGGTGGCACAAAATTTCCACCAGGTGGCACTGCGAGCTCAGCGATGGAGTCAGCTTTCCACCTAGTGCCCACGAGCGCCTCTGGGGACATGGGTGCAGAATCAGCTTCCTCGAGCAGATGAGATTTCCTGTTATGTTTATTCTGAATTTGCCAGGTGGGAACAGCTGTGCTGGTTCTCTTTGGGGTTAAAGAAGGGGCGCTGGGTGATCCCTGTCCTTTCCATCACCCAGATCTGGTACAGGGTCCTTCTCCTGGGCAGTTACGATGGAGCTCCCATGCTGGTGGCTGGTTGCACCCCTGGTTATAACAGGTGGTAGATTTTGGGTGGGGTGGAGATCTTTCTGCCACTGCTTTTGCTGTGGTGCAAGTAGCAGCATTTACTAATTGTGGATGGGCAGGTCCTGCTAGAAAGGCAAGAATTAAATTATAAACTGGGAAACCCTGGTGTGCTCCGGTGCAGGCAGCAAGGAGGCAGCTGCAGAAGGAAAGGGAGCCATTATTTACTGAGTGGCTACGCTGTGCTGGGCACTGAAGGAAGCTTCCTCCGTATTATCTTAGTTAGTCCTCACAATACACCTGTGGCTTAGCTGCTATTATTGTTCACATTTTATAAATGAAGAAACTAAGCCTTGGAAAGATGAGGGCCTTTGCCCAAAAT